TAGTTATTGAATATGTCGTTTGATTGTAAACAAGCAGTGAATTAAATGCGTCCAATGGTAATCGTTAACGGGAGCTGCACCAACAACATTACAATTTAAAAATACATGTTCGCTTTATATTTATTTATTAACTGAGATAAACCTACTTCTCCATTCAAAATTCTAAGCAGCTCTCCGCTGCTTTGTTTTCGGTGGATTTACTTAAGTTGAATCAAAGTCGTTTCAAGTTAAAAGGTCCCCTCTTTCCATTGCCATAATAGTAATGCGTGTTTGCTGTTTATACGGACCGTACGCTTACAAGGGAGCGTTGCTGAACGATGTAGTTATTATAAAATTATACTTACAGTGAAGTATCAATATTAACTTAAACAATTTGTAAAAATATATTATTCACTATATTTCTGTATGTTTCACTATCAGGTAGTTAATAGGTACGACCTGCATACTTACTATAGTTTTCAAAGACACTGGTATCATTATGCTGGTATGTGATGTATTGGCAAGCAATGATTCAGTCTTCTAGGGATAGTATGTCTTACCCAAAATCAGGAATAGCTTGGATGGTGGTATTTAGATAATGACTCATACACTTCTCGGTATCGCAACTGAGTCAGAATTATAATGAGGATTGAATATCGTACCTTATAAATAACAAGTTTTCACTGGTTGGAGATGTCATTAATTTAGACACGCTAGAGGGGATGATCTGTTGCGAGCATCTTTTTTTATCTATAAGTCTTTGAATGTTGCGTTGTAACGCAATATGTATATTATGAGCATATTTTGTAGCATTAATAATACGTCTTCTGGTCATAAATTAAGGATTTTAAATAAGACATTAGCCGACACTTCAAAAATAATTACTAATTTACTGTTTTTATTTCGTGCAGTCGTTTCATAGTAACTTAGTAAGATATTTCCCATGAAAGTGAACTCTGTATCAATGCGTGTTCTTATGACAATAACATTCTTTAAAGACACAACTTAGAAATAACTATAATAGGTAAGTACCTAGGAACCGCACCAACAAATTTTTAACTAAACAAACTCTTTGAAATTTTACTCTATTAATAAAACAAAGCGCGTCGCGCCCGTAAGTCTAACTAATTAAAACGGATTACTCGTAGGAGACTAGCTAACAATGCACCATTATTGTCCTATATTATATTATCCTTAAGCCCAACACGTTCCTCGACACGCTTCAAACTTTGGTAATTATTGGAGCTCTACTTACTTATCTTGAAGCTATCACTTAAGAGACACCAGTAATAAGTTGAGACAGCAGTTATAAATCGAGTTTAAGACGTTGCCCTCGGCGGCACATCTCGATGCTTAATGAACATTTCACAAGATCGATAATCTTGTTTGTATTACAAATACTAACTTTGGTATCAATTTGTGATATTTCTTCATATTGTGTTTAACGTATTAAGTGTCTAATTACGCAGCTAATAGTATAGCTTGTACCAGGTTTCTCAATTTATGTTGCTGTGTGTGTTCGTTAAATGACGAGAATCCCTCTGGGAACCCTGAAAGAGAAATCAATATTACTTGTTGTAAGTATTAAAGAATAGGCATTATGGTAGTTCCAATGAATAAGGGGCTTTAATTGACAGAATTAAATACATGTTTCCTTAAATTTATATGAAAATGACGCGCATTCCATGAACATGAAATCTTGTATGTTCTATAATCTATTTCTGCTTTCGGTATAACGATAGAAAAAAGCAGTTGATACTAGTTTTATAGCAATTGTTCAAAATATAATGTCAAAATTTATCAAGTTGTTTAATATTTACAATGAAAATGAAGCTGGATGGTTCCGTAATTTGTGCGGAAGGGAAAGCCTTGGGTGGAGGTGTATAAACTATAAACACCCATCTTTCACTAGCAATTATGTTATCCCATTTAATGGGGGACAAACCAGTTATAAACCGTGCATGAATTCTGCACTATACTACACTTTAGCTATCAAATAATTAATTACCTGTATAGATAAAGGACCGCTTTCTAGAATTACATCCAAACCAGTGTGCAAATATAGGTACTTATTTAAAAAACCAGTACACAACTGTTTGTGTATTTAAAAAGAAACAAAAGAAACTAAAGCATAAATTGTTCACAACGTTCGCCTTTGCGAGTTGGCTCTTTCAGATTTATATTTCTTTTAAAGTTCTTTTTTTTCTTAGTACATCTGTAGCGTTCGTTAAAGTTAATAAACTGAGTTTGCACAGAGATTTAGCAATAGTTTTTGGAGAAAAACATTCTTCTGCTCGTACCTATCCAATATGAGTATAGACATGTATAAAAGGGGTTACTCACCCCCTAATAACAAAGTGTTCGCGTCATCAACAAATATACATTTTGGCACATTTCAAATTCCTTCGTCACGTTCGCTATTCGTGAAAATCGTCTATGACAGATGACCGGCCGAATGCCGATAGAGTGATCTTTGGTACAGGACCCACGAAAATTTTATGCTCAGATAATAAAGTAAATGTTGCTTGAAGTGTGAATATATTAACTACACATATTTCGTGCCATTGTAAAATCTTTGTCCTCACTGTAGTAAATCACTTACACACTTGCGATCGGCTCGATAATGTGTGTATTATGTAGATGTAGGAACAACAGTAATTTATTTAAGGTTTTCAATAATTACAAAAAAAAAATATATCCTTCTTCGTACACATATATTTTTCCACATTTTTGGTATCGGGAGCATTCTATCCTCTATTCTATCGGGTTTATACACACGCTTAAGGTCCTTATCAAAATATTCTTGTAGTTCGAATTTGATGGAATTTGACCTTTTTACGATAATTGTTGATAGTTTATTGGGTCGTATAGATATTATAAAAGAAATTCCTTCATATATTACTATAACTACTAATACAACATATTTCAACTAGTTGGAAATATGTCATGTCATTAAACGCGTTCCTTAACTTCAGTACATAACCACCAATGTCCAATGTTCAATTAAACAAAAACCCAACATAGGATCTGATAATTATTTAACAAGAAAGGGGAAATTCATTTGGCAACATTTTAAACATGTCTGTCGTGATAATTCTAAATTTTTAGGCTTCTTCAAATATCAATGTAAGGGTACTCATAAATATGTATAATTTTAATACACAGTAATTATGTATACAGACAGGCTATAGCCAAACACTCGGTTTGCGTAAAGGACTAAATTGTTCATAAGCTTGAAATGTGTTATTGTATCTAATTGTGACATTGAGTCGGCACTGAAATATGTAAACTTACCACCACTGCGCTGTTCAATCCTTTACTCGAAAGCAGGAGACATTCTTGAACTAATTAATGCTACGTGATAATGGTCGTAGTTAGTATTGTTTTAGCACTATTGTCGTGATTCAACCACTTTATGTACGAGTTAACGAGAACTGGTAGACTTGTGCATTGATATAACACTGATGATGCGGTGCGCAGTGACAGATGAGCGGGCGCGAGGCGCGCGGCGCGCTGACGCGGACTGCTGGTGTACGTAGGACGAGCGCTATGCGTGCGCGCGCGCCGCCGACCGCCGCCGCGGCCGCCACTCTCGACGTTTGACCTTATTTAATTAGTTCGTTCGTTTTTACTCTTTGAATGTAACACAGCATATTAAAATGTGTAACCGTCTAATTCATTGTTACCATCCACTCGGTTAATATTCTCTACTCTTAACTAACCCTACTAATATTACGATCGCGCACTAATTGTACTAATGACAACAACGTAGCCATAGTGTAGCTTTGTCATTTAAAGTATTCCGATCCTTAAGATTGTAGTTGTAGATATTTAGTCTCACTCCGTACCTAAAGTGTTTATGTTTAACGTTCTCAATTTTTCCTCTTGTATAAACCTTGTATCTGGTAGAAACACAAGACTTGCGCTATTTCTGTTTGGAGTTCACCCACCCCGGCATCGCTGTTGATTTCTGCATCATATAAATAATTTCCCTTCTCAACATTATCTCGCACTAAATTCTTGTAATATACAGCTATCAGAGTATGTATGGCGTACAAATAAAAATGCACTTGCCGTGCTCTCGTTACCCACTTGGCTCATGTTTGGACATTTTAAAAGTTGTGAGTTCGCGTTTCTGAATCGCTCTAATAAAACAAGATGGTCTTCAATTACTATCGAAAACAATGTCGATGTATAATTATTATATTAATAAAGGACAATAAGACAAGAATATAATATGTACCCATTATACAAGTTAATAATAGTAGCTACTTATTGCTCAGCGGGGGATGTGTTACAATCCAGTTTTTCTTGAACAGTCTATGAATACACCAGGGAATATCGCCGGCTGTACGCGGGGGTGTAAATCTCATTTTTTTAGGAAAAAATGTTTTGTCACAGGCAGGCGTTTGCTGGCATCGGCTTTTGAATACAACGTACTATTTACATAAATTTGCATATGCATAGGTACTTAGAATAAAACCAACATAAATATTTCCGGGATTTTCAGGTTTTCAGTATACGTAGACGGTTTATGATACTTCAAAATATTGCTGCTTCTATCATATTTTGGGCATTAAATACAAAAGTTTATGTGGTCGTAAATAATACATTTATCAGAAAAGATTAGGAGAGGGGTGCATTTAACAAGCGGACCCCGAGACCCGACAGATGTCGTCATTCTGTCAAAAGCTATCGGACTGTATTTTCCGGGCAATTTTCTCAATTCCTCTCTTCATACGAATATTTCTCGAAGTAGTATCTCCATTAATAGGGACTGGGATGCTCTAGTCCGCTGGTGATATTCCTTGCATTATTGTGTATAAAAGTGAAACAAATGAAATTCACTTGTTTCACTTGTTTCACATATTTTAACTTTTAAGTTATGTTAAATAATGACGAAAACGTTATTTACTTAGTGAAGCCATTATTATTAACCTAATTTACTATAAGCTCTTACCTAGCTGAATTTTCTCTATTAAGTCGTTTCTTACACCAAAATTTGGTTTAATTACAGTGCAATGAAAATTATGCTGGGCAAGTTGCCACGACCATGGATCGTCGACGATGCCAAGGATGATGGGTACACAGCACTGCACCTGGCAGCGCTGAACAATCACGCCGAGGTAGCAGAACTGCTTGTTCGAGGAGGCGCGAGACCAGACCTCCAGAATGCCAACCTGCAAACAGCTCTACACCTCGCTGTCGAACGACAACACACGCAGATCGTCCGCTTACTCGTCGCACATGGAGCGAATCTCAATATTTGTGACAAGGTACCCTTTTGTACCACATTTAGATGCAATTACTACTACTGTTTACTTGTTAACATTATCACTTTAATGTCTGTTACTACTACCAGGATGGCGACACTCCGCTACACGAGGCGCTGCGCCACCACACGCTGCAACAGCTACGTCGTCTACAAGACGCGCGCGACGCAGCGCTACTCACGGGTCTTGCGCACGCGCACGATAAGAAATCCTCCGCTTCCATTGCATGCTTCCTTGCTGCACATGGAGCTGATCTAACTATCAAGAATAAGAAAGGTATGGTAATATACTCCGAAATACCTACTGTTTACGTTGCCGTAATTCGTTGGATAATTAACGTTATTTCTTGATATGACTGTTTTGCGTGAAGTAGAAGTAGATATTCTGAGTAAAAAGGCAATTAAAGCTGAGGAAATAATTTTAACTTTCAGGTCAGACACCCCTAGATCTATGCCCCGATCCGAATCTTTGCAAGACATTGACGACATGCCGCAAAGAAGGAGCCAGTTTGGGTGGCGAGGGCACTCCGGAGAGCGAGCCGTGCTCATTGAATGCAGCGACTGCAAGCACATCGGGCGTGACGGCCGCGTCACCCGCGCCCGCAGAGAGCGCCGCCGCCCTCACCACTCCCACACAGCCTGCGTCCTCTGACCCCACGGCAGACGAGTGCCTCGTTTGCTCCGATGCCAAACGAGATACACTGTTCCGTCCGTGTGGACACATTTGCTGCTGTAGCGTTTGTGCAGCTAGGGTAATCATAAAGTTTTTTCATACTTTATTCATTTTTTGTGTCACTGGCTTCTGTCAACGTTATTGTCCGCATTACCGAAATACAGCAACTTTGTATTATGACATACTATTTAGGTATACTACTACTCTGTCAAGAAGGTACCGGGAAAAGATCAATAATAGGTACACAAAATGTATGTTATTCGTCCAAGTTTATTTTATCACCTTCAAAGTATGCTCCTTTACAAACGATACACTTGCGCCAACGAATAATCCATTTGTCAAAACATTTTTTAAACGCTGCTTCCGGAATTGAGTTCAGTTCTCGCCACGAATTCTCCTTTATGTCTTCTATCGATTAAAAACGGGTGCCACGAAGTGGTAATTCAGTTTAGGAAAAAGAAAAAAGTCAGCAAGAGCCATATCTGGTGAATATGGTGGTTGCGGGATGGTATTTGTTGAGTGGTTGGTCAAAAATTCGTTCACAATATAGCCTTGTGCGAAGGCGCATTGTCGTGGTGCAAAATCCAAGAATTTTCTTTTTACAAATCTGGCCTTTTTCGTCGAATTTGCTCTCTTAAACATCGCATAACGCTCAAATAACAGTCAACATGACTTTGACTTTTGATCGACTTTGGCGTGGTTTTTTCGGTTTCGGTTCAGTTGGAAGGCGCCATTCCGAAGCTTGTTGACTAGTTTGCATGTCAAACTCGTAAACCCACGTCCCGTCACCAGTAACAATGCATTTCATGAATGTTGGGTCCGAACTGACTCGTTCTAGCATGTACTCAGCGGCTTTCATGCGATTGAGTTTTTGGAGAAAATTCAGATCTTTTGAGACTAGCCGAGCAGCAACATACTTCATACCCAAATGATTAGTTAAAATGGTGACTCGTGAGATACAGAAAGTTCGGCGGCTATCTCTCTCAGAGTTGAGTAGAGAGTCATTTCCTTCACTTCTTCGATGTTAACTTCAGTTGCAGACGTTAAAGGCCTACCAGAGCGAGGCAAATCTTCCACCACATCTCGACCGCTTTTGAACGCTTTGAACCACTAATAAGCACGAGTTTTTGATAAAGTCGATTCAACGTAAGCCTTCTGTTACATTTTCAGTGAGTCCGAACACGAAATTCTATTGGCGATGCAAAATTGAAGACAAATTCTTTGTTCGATATTTTTGTCCAATGAAATTCGCAATACACACTATATATGATATTACTAAAACTAGCACTGTATTTAATATAAATAACAGATATAACAGATGCAACTTAAAACTCCGCTCCAAAATGGAAAACAGTTGTGCCAATCTAACAACTACAAAAATTTGAATTTGGAACCATAAACAAATCATCCATTCCCGGATACTTTTTTGACTGAATGTAAGTTACACCAATCGAGTGCATACTTAGAAATATATTATAATTATTAATACAGGTATCGTAGTAATCTTTTATGTCGTATTTCGGTTAGCTTATCGCAATAAGTGTATGAATGTATCGTTTCCCATGCAGGTAAAGAAGTGCCTGACGTGTCGCGCGGGCGTGGTGTCGCGGCAGCGCGTGGGCGAGTGCGTGGTGTGCTCGGAGGCGGCGGCGGCCGTGCTGTGTCGGCCGTGCGGCCACGTGTGCGTGTGCGTCAACTGCGCGCCGCTCATGCGCAAGTGTGTCGAGTGTCGCACGCCGCTGCAGCCGCCGCCCGCGCCCGCCGCGCCCCCCGCGCCCGCCGCGCCCGCCGCGCCCCCGGCCGCGCTGCAAGCACCCGCGCCACACAAAATTGACTGTAACTATCTTATGTCACCTGTAACTGCAACAGAACGACCATTTCCTTTTCTGTATTCAGCTACCTATCTTTGCCTGCATCTAATAATAATGCGTTAACTTTTCGACTTCCACAGTGGAGAAGGAGAGTAGCAGCAACCTGGCGCAGGTGCAAGTGAACAAGGGGCAGCCAGTACCGGCGCAATCGGCGCCTCACTATATGAACAACGGCTCTCGGTTTGCAGCGGCCCCAGCCCTGGGCGCAAGCAACGCACACGCAACGCTGGCGCCCCCCGCAAGCACTGCAGCGCCCGCGCCCGCCGCGGCTGATGTACAGAAACTGCAGCAACAGCTTCAGGACATCAAAGAACAGGTGACAAACTTAAGAGCCATATTATCCCTACCACAAACTAGGCAAGCGCCTAGGGTTCAAGGTTACAGAGGGGCGCCGCGGACCGCGCGTGTCCAACGGGCCATTGACTGACAGTCAGTGGCGCCAAAAAAATTAGAGGCTTTAGCCACCGAGATGTTTGACTAGGGCGCTCTCTAAGTATAATCCGCCTCTGGATAGACTTATTCGTATCTTGTTTACAGCTCACATATATAGTAGCTAGCACATACTTTACTCTGTCGATTTACATTGACGTTATAATACCCTTTCTTCATAAATGAGTCCTACTGTTTTCATCGAGTGCATATCGAGATTCAGCTTTGTTTATTTACGCTTTATAGATGACAATCTCTATTTACTAGTATTTACTACGGATTGATGCAGAGTATACCTACAGAGTACCAAGCACGAATAACTATCGCAATCGTATCGTAATAGTACCGAGCGCGTTCGGCGCTCGGATTGGTTGATTTACTGGACCCGGCCAATCAGAGCGCCGAACGCACTCGATACTGTTACGTTACGATTGCGATAGTTATTCGTGCTTGGTACTCAGGATGACTTGTAACTCGACGTATTCCTCTCGGGAGGTGATAATACCACTAATACCCACAAAGTAGCCCTGAGGTCCCTGGCCCGAAAGGGGCTAGTTTCTGAGATATTCAATATTTTCAGTTTTGGTGAAAAAATAAACGTGTCAGGCATTTTTAAAATATAGGACTCTACAAATAAACATTTTTCATCGGAGTATCTTTTGTTCGTGATGAGTAATAACTGTGTTTGTTGGCCGCAGACGATGTGTCCGATCTGCCTGGACCGGCTGAAGAACATGATCTTCCTGTGCGGCCACGGCATGTGCCAGATGTGCGGCGACCGCATCACGGTCTGCCCCATCTGTCGCAAGCAGGTCGAGAAGCGGATCCTGCTCTACTGACTCTCTGCGGCCCGCGCTCCTACTATAAGGCTGATAGTACTATAATGGCTTACTTAAGAACTTATATTTATTACAATCTTATATAGTTAAAAGAATATAATTATTATTTTATTACAAAAGAATTAAGAATCGCGACAATGTCGCAAAAGCAGCTTCTCATTATCTCGGAACTCTTTTACAGGTTCAAATTACTTAATATGATAATTTTTAGTAAATTCTGCAACTAAAGATATAATCCTCAAATAGTGTTGCATACAAGTTTATTGTTACGTTATGTTAAGTCTTATATATTAAATTTGTTATTTTTGTATAATTAATTGATTCGGTTTAATTAATAGTACTTAAAATCACGTGTAACACAAAATATGAATTTTCCATTTTCATGCATTTAAATACCCCTTGGAAATAAGTTAAAATAATTCGTATTATGCAATTATTCAATGCATTTTGTGTTTGTGATAAGGGTCTTTAGTGCAATGTGAAACACATTGCAGTGAACTAACTCATTGGGCTGACCCCACGACAGGCGTGTGCCTGCGGCCGCGTCGCTCATACGCCCGAGGATCGTGCGCCCTTCTGTGGGGGAGGAAAGGAAATAATTTGATGTTTTAAATACCTAGAACAATCTGATACTCGACGAAGCTTGTTCTTTATGAATGCGAGCTATTTACTAATGTATTGTATTGTTATTGCTAGTGCCTATAGCTACTATTTAATGTTACAAAGGGCTTTTTGTAATCCCACACGTTATTCAATGATAGAATACTTGCATAACCAATATTAAATACTTTATACCTATGTAATTATTCTTATTAAAATAAATATTACTGTTCAAAAGGACATTTTTATTACAATTTCAATCAACACAAAATGGAATATAATTGTATTTTAAATAATAATTTAATAGACGCTACATCACGATTAGCCAGTATAATTAGCTACCAAAGTAGTCTCATCAATTGTATGTTTGGCTTGATCTGGAAAAGCGACAGATTCTTTGACTTTGGCTTCTTCGGTCGCAGAGATGCGGTCTCGGATTAAACTTTTCGTTAAATCGCAGATTCTAAAGGACAAGTGTAGGTCCTGCCCCAGATCACTCACTTCGCAGCGGCGACAGTCCTTGTAGTACGCGTCCGACAAACCGTTCAGGTCGGGGGACGTGGCGCAGTACAGAGGTGTACTGGCTGCTTGGCTCTATACATATACAATGATTTGTTAGAATACTGCACTTACTTATAATGACGACGACACGCAACACTTTTGTTTCCCAAGAAACGGTACCGTATTATCCCTAAGGCAAACCAGGCACTTCCCTAGGTTAGGTTACAGAAGGGCGCAGTGGGACGCGCATGCTCAACTACCCATAGAGTGGCGGCGACGGCGCCAAAAATCTAGGAGCGCCTATGAGGTGCTTGCCTAGGGCGCTCACTGAGTTTAATCCACCTCTGCCAAGAAATACATACATATTCATATTTATATAATAATGTAGTATCATAACGTGTAGGTATACTCACAATAGACTTGGAGAAAGGTCTCATACTTGTATAGAGCAACTCGTATGGCCACCAGTTCCGGCACAACCTCGTCTTTACGAACGTGCCGGGGTGTGCACAGAACACTGACTTGCCTGAGTTCAGCCACCGGTAACTCAAGTAATGCATAAAGTGAATAGCGCACAACTTTGAAATGTTGTAGGCTCTAATAGACGTGTATTGACTTTTGGGTAGCGACACCATCGCTTCCGTGGGCATCAACTGATTATTGAAATCCCAGCTTACATGTCTAAAAAAGATAGACAGTTTTTGGAAAATGCGATTAGGCAATCTGATCCCTGAACATGATCAAGAAACATTTTTAAAACCCTTATAGAAGGAAAAGCCCTTTCCATTTTATTATTTTAGTAATATGTTTCATTGTATAAATTATACAACTCTATAATATTATAATTAGGTGTACCTGTGTGATTCTGAAGATACGATTACGACGCGCGCATCAGGAGCAAGAATCTTTTCAATATTCATCAGCAAAACATATTGACTCAGATAATTAACTTGGAATGTTGTTTCTAACGAGTCTTCCGTAAGAGTCCATGGTAATCCAAATACAGCTGCGTTTAAAATTAGGATATCAATTTTCCTAAAAAAATAATTAAATAAATTACTAAACAATACACATCGTTTTAAAAAAAGACCAAGGTTCAGTTCCCAAATACCACGTTACTATATTCGTCTGCAACGATTTTAAATTTTGTAGGTATGTACATAACTAATAGGTATATATCTGATTTATTTTTAGAAGATACAACTATCATAACTTTAATATCCGCAGCCTATTTTTATGTTAAATGTTCAAAATTTAACTTACGATTGTTCTTTCAAAATTTCGTCGGTACATTTTTTGACTGATCTCAAAGACGCAAGATTAACTTCATAAAGTTTAAGGCGATCGCTATTTCCACAAACTTTTTTGGCCACCATATTGGCTGCATAGGGATTGCGACAAGCCATAAGAACCGTACAGTCTCGAGAACTTAGAGTCTTCGTCATCTCCAACCCGATACCACTGTTAGCTCCCGTAATTAAGCATGTTTTGTTCGACAAATCGAGATCTTTAGTAACCTGAAAAATAGCAATTTAATTTAATGCCTAAATAGATACTGAGGTGTGGGCAGCAGCATTCTATAAAAACTTACCGGTGAACGAACCGGCGCGGCCTACCAATCTTGGCAAGTATAGCAAATCCTCCCCGTAGGTATTTACATGTTTCTGGGATATCCATCCATCGATCATGGCGCTAAAGTAGCGTTTGGCTAAAGGCCAAGCAGGGCCACCAGGTACTCCAGATCTTTGATTATTCTAGTTTTTATAGTTTTCCCTTTATGTTAAACCTTATTAAACCCAAACTCTGTACCAAATTTCAGCTCTGAGTTTATGGGAGTATCTACCAGTTGTACCTACCTATTTTGATGATCATGAGTGAGTGAGTGAGTGAATATATAACATAATATATAATGCGAAACTTTGCTTTCGCATAACTTTGAAACTAAATGACCCTACAGCCTACAGACTTGAAATTTTGGGTTTGGTATGGTGATTTCTGTGTTCCTCTCTTATCCAGAGGTTCTCAAATAGAGCTGATATACGACGAATTATTTCCAGTAAAGGATGGTGCGGGAGCGGTTGCTTCGCGCTCGACTTGGCAGGGACACTGCCGTGCCCCCCAAATCCATGATGGGTTTCTAAATAAGTACTGAATGTTTTATATCTTCTACGTTACTTGTAATTCTATAGTGCTGGGCGCCGCCGCCGTCTATAGGTACCTATAGACTGAGTTCGACTTTAGCTCCGACAACAAACTTCTTGACATTTTCGGTTATTAAAATACACAGAAGATAAAGGCGAACCAAAAGTAATTTTCTCAGTCAGTTAGGGAAGTCTGTGTGCTAGGTTTTATTAGGTACCTATCTAAGTATCTATATGGCATCTTAAATTAAAAAAGTATTAAATTCTGACTTGCCTCATCCGCCGTTGGTCCATGGATGCCAAAGAAGTCGAGCCCCTTTCCTAGTGCCGCCAAGTAATTATCAAGTGAGGGTATCTTTTTGGCGGTTGTATTTACAAAATGTTTGTCGACACGATTTATCAGAATAGGAACTCTGCAAATATTACGGACATGGCATTTTAAATGACTTTCCAAAAAAGAGGAGGTTCACAATTCGTGTATGTTTTTGTTTTATGTGTGTATTTTTATAGTAAATAGATAATTAAAATCAGGGAAACGCTGCATTATGACGATGATGGCATTAGGAACATGATTGACGAATTCCTCGTGAAAAAGTTGCTTAAATAGGTACCTAAACAAGACTTTTACGGCCGAAATTAATAAACTATCTAAACCCAAAATCTGGATTGAAAGGATTGATTTTTGACATTAATTGTATGGAATTTCTGTCAAAAATCGATCATAATTTCGACTTTGGATAGAATTTCGGCCGTTAATAGTTCTAAGTAGGTAGATAGCTAAATATCCATTTAGCAAGTACCTACTTTCATTTAGTTGCTAATCTACGATAAGCAAATTTTTAAATGAGTACATTTTTTTTTCTAATAGATGCATGCATCATCATAATCATGGTAGTAACTCCAGTCCTGAGTAGATACCTATGGGATACTTTTTGAGTGTCATTCTCGTATCTGTGGAAACTTACCATACCATACCAACATATATTATGTCATTGAATTCATAAATTGTACTTACTTAATTTACAATTGCGACATTCTCAGTGTGGTACGATAGCAAGGAGACAAGTAATCACATATTTATTAGGTGGGCTCCAAATGGGGACCAACCAGGACAGTGAAATGATTAGCCTTGTTTCTTAACTTTGCTAGGTTTAGATTTAGGTAGGCTTAGGTTTTCGAGTTTAATTAGGTATATCTATTACGAGTATGATGACCGTATCTTGATTTCGATTTTTGTATCCAAGCTAAACTCTTCAAATTCTCAAACGCTGTAAATAATTTTAAAATTGAATACGACTCACCGCCGAAAACAAGACCGTAACATTGTTTCAAAATAACTTAGAATTCTCTGTAGGTAATATTTAGTTAATTGAATTTTATCTTAAAGAGATTATTAAAACAATTTTCTTTTCTATTACTTTTACTCTTCTAGTAAAATGTCAGAAAATATTATTTGTTTTAAATAATTACTTTTTTAGTTATCGTTACTATGCAGTAGGTATAGAGTTTGTAAGCAAATAAAAAGTTTTCGTACCGATACGAAGACATAAGAAGAAAGTACCTAATGTTATTCTTTCAAGAAGTAAATGTTTTGGTCTATAAACATTAACTTTAATGTTTTACTTAAAATAAATACTTACTATAACTAAATATATACAACTTACGAAAATTTAATAAAAGAAAACTAAAAATAGCTATTTACACAAAGCATCGAAAAATTCGTCCGCATCATGTCCGTATCGACGTAAGTAGGGAAAGTAGCCAAAAGGCTGACAGCATTGCCACTTTGTATGGCAATGCTTAACCTCGGACCGAGAGAGAGACCAGCTCTCTGGTCACGAGATGCGTCGACCGCGTTTAGAAATGTTTTTGAATAATTAGTAGGCACTCGGACCCTACGGACCTAACGGCTCAAAGATATAACTACAACCTTGTACCAGCAAGGGTGTTATATACTTGCGCCGCTCGAGGTTTTCTGCACACACAGCATTAGAACCTTAACAAAAAAGTTAGAAGTTGTCTAAGAACGACACTTTGCTTTCGAGTTTAGGTTAAAAAGTTTAAATATAATCAAATCAATCACAATTGCATACAGAACCTATAACCTGTTTTTAATAAAAGCATAAACACAAAATATTGTTGCGTTGCTCAATGTAATACTTACGGAAATTCGGGAACAAGTTTTCATTCATTAATTCATTCATTTTCAAATAAAAACTTAAATAAAATTAAAACTAACTATTACTAAATTAATAATAAAATATATACAACTTAAGATTTTTATTTAAAAGAAAAACAAACAGTTTTCATTTATTTCCAAAAGACAAAATTATGAATCAAATAAATTTTCACTGTATTGAAAGAGAAAAGATCAGCTGTAAAGCAATTAACCCTCTCAGATTTACACAGCAGTGATATGTATTTATTTACTTTTTTTACGGGTATTCATTCAATTGAACTTTTAGAAACATTGGTGATTTGTGTTAAGTGAATTGGCCTTAAATGCTCCAACAAAAATTACGTCATTTAGAGCCATTGGTGTTTTGTTTAGTTTAGATAGGCAGACATGTTCTAATTATTTTAATAATAATACCTATATGCCCCATGCAGAGTAGAGTAAGTACTCAAAATTGTTATTCCTTGGCCTGATACCGAAATTATACACAGTAACTTACTTAGATCATTCCAAAAATATAAAAATACAAGAATAATATTAGACTGTGCTGAGACTGTAATTGAAAAATGTTATGTTTAAAAAGTAGAATATTATCGTACCGAATATTGAGAGCAATATAAAAAAACAATAAAGCTAAGTTTAATATTGGAATAACTCCTTCTGGCCTAATAACTGAAACAAGTGCATCTTATGGTGGTCAAGCATCAGATAAACATTATTGTAAATGAATCAGGAATCTTAAATAAATGCGTGTTTAATGATGGAGTGATGGTGTATAGGTAAAGGATATAGGATTGAATTCGAGAGTAATAACATTTAATTAATTTTGCCATTTACTTAAATATTTATATACAATAAACCGCATAAATCTGATTTATATTTTTGTGTTACTTAAATTATATACGAAAACTGTCAATGTCGTTCTTAGACAGCTTCACAATTCTGACTGTAGAGGCGCTAGTTAGAATCTTTGCAACGCCACTTTTGCAAAAACATTTTTAGTCTATTATTTACAATCTGTGGTTACCTGCTGTCTGTCAATGTTACTTCTGTGTCAATTTGTCAAAGCCAAGCAAAAAACATCAAACAAACGACTTTAATAGTGAGTCTTGCTTAGCGTATTTACTTACGTATTATTTTCTGTAACAATGGATAAATTAAATAAGAGACGTTATTCGTCAAGTTCAGATAGTGCTGAAGAACATCGTTTAAAAGATATTAAAGAACGTGATGAGTTTGCAAAGAGGCTAAAAAAACGTGATGAAGAAAGAGTAAAGAAAGTTGCAGAGTCTTCCAGCAAAAGATCATATGAAGAAGCAGCTAAGCGCCTCAAGTTAGAAGCTGAAGATAGAGAAAAGATATTGCCCAAGTTACGCATTCACTCTCGTCGAAAGTACTTGGAGAAGAGGAAAGATGATAAGGTGATTGAGTTGGAAGCAGACATAGCTGACGATGAATATCTTTTTGACGAAAGCAGGTTAGTTCTTACGTTGTTGTATTTTACATTATAAGTAATACATTACATAATTAGATAATTATTTCAAAGATAATCGTACTATAACACATTTCTTTTACTTACAGCCTAACTCAACGGGAAAGATTGGAGAGGGAACACAAAAAAACAATATTAAAATTAGCTAAAGAGCATGAAAAGGCCAGGGAGTTGGAGAATGTCCAGAGGTATCACATGCCACAAGATTTGGGAAAAGATGCAAAAGGTATTGTTAGAGTATATTTTTAGATTTTATTCCATGTCCCCCTATTTTCTAATTATATTCTATTAATAATATACATTTCTTTTATGTTTACAGGTGAATATGTTGAAGTTGATGAAAGAGAAAAAGTGCCACATTCAGAACAACAAAAGTGGGAGCAAGAACAAATTAAATCAGCCTTCTTTAAATTTGGGGCCAAAGATGCTAAAGCACAGGATGAGTATGAGTTATTACTGGATGAACAGATTGACTTCATCCAAGCTCTTCAATTGGAAGGTAATAAAGAAAAGAAAGAAACTGAAGAAAAATCAGAATATCAAAAAATAAGGATGACTATTGAGGAAACTAAGAAATCTCTGCCAGTTTACCCGTTCAGGGATTCATTAATTGAGGCCATTAAGACTTACCAAATACTAATAGTAGAAGGTGAGACAGGATCTGGCAAAACTACACAAATACCTCAGTACCTTCATGAAGCAGGTTTTACAAAGGATGGCAAGAAAATTGGTTGTACCCAACCAAGAAGAGTAGCAGCCATGTCAGTATCAGCCCGAGTGGCTCAGGAAATGAATGTCAAACTGGGAAATGAAGTTGGCTACAGCATCAGATTTGAAGACTGCACCTCTGACAGAACTGTCATCAAATATATGACTGATGGTACTCTACATAGGGAGTTCCTTTCTGAACCAGACTTGGCCTCTTACAGCGTAATGATCATTGATGAAGCTCATGAACGGACATTGCACACTGATATTTTATTTGGACTTGTGAAAGATATTACTAGGTTTAGACCAGATTTAAAATTACTTATCTCAAGTGCTACCTTGGATGCTGAAAAATTCTCAAATTTCTTTGATGATGCTCCTATCTTCAGAATACCTGGAAGAAGATTTCCAGTAGACATCTATTACACAAAAGCTCCAGAAGCTGATTATGTGGATGCCTGTGTTGTGTCTGTGTTACAGATACATGCCACACAGCCACTGGGAGACATTTTAGTTTTCTTGACAGGTCAAGAGGAAATTGAAACTTGTTTTGAAATGTTACAAGAAAGAACAAAAAAAATTGGCAAAAAGTTAAGAGAACTTATTATACTACCAGTCTATGCCAACTTACCAAGTGATATGCAAGCTAAAATATTTGAACCTACTCCAGAAGGTGCTCGTAAAGTAGTATTAGCTACTAATATAGCAGAAACTTCTTTGACTATTGACAATATTATTTATGTTATTGACCCTGGATTTGCCAAACAAAATAATTTTAACTCAAAAACTGGTATGGAAAGTTTGATGGTGGTACCTATTTCTAAAGCCTCTGCAAACCAGAGAGCAGGTAGAGCTGGCAGAGTAGCACCAGGAAAATGCTTCCGCTTATACACAGCATGGGCATACAAATATGAACTTGAAGACAATACAATTCCAGAAATACAGAGAATAAATCTTGGTAATGCAGTTCTCACTCTTAAAGCTTTAGGAATTAATGATCTGATCCACTTTGATTTCTTAGATCCACCACCACATGAAACACTAGTGTTAGCCTTAGAACAGCTTTATGCATTAGGAGCTCTCAATCATCATGGTGAATTAACAAAAGCTGGTAGGAGAATGGCTGAATTCCCAACAGATCCCATGCTGGCTAAAATGTTATTGGCCAGTGAAAAGTAAGTAACAGTTCCACTTCTTTCTTGAAAATTCATTTCTGTTGTAATTATTTTAATAGTATATTTCAAAAAATAAGTTGTACAAGAATAAATTTAATTATACCTTTTTGTTTCCAGATACAAATGTTCAGAAGAAATAGTGTCCATTGCTGCCATGTTGTCAGTAAATAGCTCGGTATTCTACAGACCCAAAGACAAGATTATTCATGCAGATACTGCACGGAAGAATTTCTTCCATCCACATGGAGATCATTTAACACTAATGAATGTGTATAACCAATGGCTTGGTTCTGAATATTCGGTGCAATGGTGCTATGAGAATTTTATTCAGTACAGATCAATGAAGAGAGCACGGGATGTGCGAGAACAACTGGCAGGCCTTATGGAAAGGGTTGAAATTGATATGGTGTCAAGTATTAGTGACGACACTAACATTCGCAAAGCAATTACTGCTGGATATTTCTACCATATAGCCAAGTTTTCAAAAGGTGGTCATTACAAGACGGTGAAGCATAACCAGGTGAGTCTCTAATCCTGTTGCTCCCAAACTAACCACTCAATAAATGTGAAAAAGTACCTACCTTCTCATTAAATGTGATTAAAATTAAAATGTTTCCTGTTTTTCAGACTGTCATGATTCACCCCAACAGTGCACTGTTTGAAGAATTACCTCGATGGGTTATATATCATGAACTAGTATTCACTTCAAAAGAGTTTATGAGACAGGTAACAGAGATAGAAAGTAAATGGCTTCTGGAAGTTGCTCCCCATTATTACAAAGCTAAAGAACTAGAAGATTCAACAAATAAAAAGATGCCTAAAACTGTTGGTAAATCTTCAAATACCTAGTCAATAAAAACAAATTAAACATTTCAACATTTTTTATTTCCAAAGAATCCTAAGACAAATAAGTTATGAATTAAAGCAATACTATCTATTACAGTATGTAATAGGCAAAGACAATAACCGACACGATCTTAAATGTTCCATTATAAATAGTAACTATTCAATGTATTATATGAAAATTAAGTACTTTTTATAATATTTCAGCTTTGCAATTTTTCCTGTATTGTTATACAACAGGTAATAACTATTATAATAGTTTAGTACGGTTATACAGCAGGAAAAAAATCCACAACTTTGATAATTTGATGCAATATCTTCACTCTGCCCACTGTATCTACCTGCAATCTACAATAGATAAGATATCTACAGCTGACATCACAGACATTTTTAAGACTCTAATAGTCATCTAATCTTCACATCATTGCAGTGGTCAAATAAAATATTTTAATTATCACAACTACAATAAGTGTTAGAAATCTGTGCATCTCCCCTTCCTTTCCCAATCTCCATAGCGTGTAGGTTCAGGTCCTCTAGGCCCACCTACTTCTCCAGTATGAGGGTTGATGTCATTGGGCCATGGAGGCAGTGGATTTTCATCCTTTTGAGATGGATGCATTGTAGGTTGCTCTCCAAGATCATTAATTGGAGTGGTTTCTCTCAACTTCTTTCGGAATTCTTCCAACCTCTTAGATTGAGGCCTTTTTGACTCATCTCTAGCTTTTTCGGTTTGTTCTGCCACCTCAGGTGTAGTGGTATTATGAGAATACTTACAAATGGTAAATCTTAAAATTGATAAATCTGTAAAAAGACAAAATATTCATCTGTAAATAAATTCCGGAATTATTAATTCTGAAGTCCGAATTGAATAATTATTCATTTTTAACCGACTTCAAGACACAAAATGAGGTTCTCAATTCGACCGTATTTATGCTTTATTTGTGTCGGATAGTTTCATTTATCTAAGTTATAGGCTAAAAAACATCTCGCTACGATCAATAGGAGCAAGTGAAACGGCGCTAGAGCCGCTAGTATACAATAATGGTGTAATGTGGCTAAACAATAAAAAATGGGTAAATTGTTATACCTGTAAATAGCTTATATATGATGCGTCGTTTATAAACAACAATGTAACTTAATAAAAAAACGATAATATGATAGAGCTTAACGAAAATTAGTATACTCACTTTTGGGGATAATTTTCTGTAAATTATACATACGATACATTGTACAAAATCAAAATGAAGTCGAAAGAAAAAGTACTTCAGAAAAATTATATATCATATTTTTTTCAGTGACAATGAATGTGACGTCAGTAAGAAGAAGATTCTGACAGACCAGACAGTGTCAACTCTAAGTAGGTACGTAGTAAGTAACGTACGGCTTCCCATAAACATTATTACACTCTTTGCGGCTTAGACTTGGTTGCCAAAGAAAAAACAAACGTTACCGCTCTACAAGAAAGGATGAGTAAAAGCAAAAATGTACTGACATGATCCTTAGGGTATATAATATGTTCTGTGGACATGATGCACTCATTCCAGTGACTCATTCACTGTGCCAAATCTGTGATTTTTTCACTGGATTTATTTATTTATTTTGTAAGCACATGCATAATTTTAGTGCACAAGCTAAAGCTTAAACAACAAAAAAATACTTATTTACTACGTACACATTTATTGATAGCGTGTGTGATAAAAAAGGATATTTTCTTAGTATTTATCCAATTTGGATTTTTTTTCTAAGTGGGGAAAATCATCGAATGACTGCTCCCGCCTGGGTGAGGCGGGAGGGAGGGAGTGTCAGACTCTTACTGACTAAAAACCACCCCGTTCCTTCTCCTGCACGTCGAGCCGGAGCCCAGTAACCCGTTAGGTTCTCCGCGACTTCGAATCGGCATGCAATGCGCGGAACGCGATGCGCCGTACGCTCGGGTCTGTTTCTGGTTTGACGGGGAGCCACCCATGCTCGCCGTCCGCAGGCCCGCGCTTACGGTGGCCGGAGATCATCCCGCGATCCCCGATGCCCGGTGTGTCCTTCGCTGGTTGGGTTGCGAGTAGACAGCGCTCCGCTGCCTCACGCGTCCCGCCTCCTCCTTAGCTAGCATAACTGCTTCGCAAAAGGAGGAAATGGCATCCCAGTCCCTCTCGCTCCGCATCATGACCTGCACTATGCTCACACGCGAGAGGTCGCCATCGCCCGCCGATCACTTCCCTGAGTGCACGGCGGTGCTCAGCCCACACATTCCGCTACCGTGTGTTCCACCGTGTCCACAGGGCGGTCCTCGCAGTATCCAATTTGGATAGGACAATTTCTGCTCATAAAAATCCGATTTTGATATCTATAACTGTAAATAACATAAAAAGTATTTTAAACTGTTTGTAATTGCCTACGAACCCCCATTAAAAATACAGCGAAAATACAAAAAGGTAGGCTTTTTTAGGTCCATGCAGCAATAGTACCTACTAATGAAAATACTACCCGATTTTATTGTTATCATAGACAAAAAAAGAGAAGATGAAGATAGAAAGAAAAGAATATTTCAAAGAGTATACTATGTAGGTTTATGAGATAGAACATTTGAAAAAACTATGAAATAATATTTCATAGTTTTCATATTTCATAATAATATTATGATTGTTGTCCACTGTGACGTGTTTGTCACAGTGTCTGAACTGTCACGTAATCTGTCACAACAAAAAATTACTTTGAAAGTTCCAAAGGCACTACTAGCCAACGAGGTTAAAAACATAAGTCTTACTGGAAAATGAAATGCTTACATTTTACATAAAAAGGAAAAAGCCCATAACGCAATTTTTACTGTATACCTTAAAAATGGCAAAAAGTTCATTTGAATATGTTAAGAAATTTGAATTAGATGATACTCTGTTGCCTAATAGTTGGATAGTGGTAAGATTAGATGGCAAGTGCTTTCATAAATTTTCAGACGACCATAACTTTTCTAAGCCTAATGATTTGAGAGCTTTAAAATTAATGAATTATGCTGCTTTCAATGTACTTCGTGACTTCAATGACTTATTAATGGCTTTTGGTCAAAGTGATGAATATTCTTTTATTTTCAAAAAAAGTACTACGCTGTATAAAAGACGTGCAGCCAAATTACTTACAACTATTAACAGCAAATTTTCTTCGTCGTATGTATTTTATTGGAGTAAATTTTTTGGCGATGTCCCTCTAAAATATCCGCCAACATTCGACGGCCGTATAGTGTTGTATCCTAGTGATGAAAATTTAATAGATTACATGAAATGGAGACAAGCAGATGTCCATATAAACAATTTATATAACACTACATTCTGGACCTTAGTTTTAAAAGGAAACCTAACCCCATCACAGGTGAGTTTGCCTTTGTTGTGTTACCATTTTAGATTTAGTCATTCATACTACACTGACTAAATATCCCTTAAACTTAATACTTAAACTGCTGCAACAGCACAGTTAACACATTATCATGATCAACCAGCCACTGTCTGCTGCGATGTTTATCTAAAATTGTGTTTATAACTGCACCTATGATACAAGCCAAATCTTTAAGTACCATCATTATAGACACAATTAAAGAACAATAAGTTGCGGTCACCGGTGACCACTCAGTGTTGGACAGTTAATAGATGTTCTTGCTGTTTTTTTTAACTATTAACAATAATAATTGATCATTTAAATTTCAGGCTGAAAAACGTTTATGTGGGACAGTCTCCGCTGATAAAAATGAAATTTTATTTCAAGAATTTCAAATTAATTATAATAATGAACCGGAAATATTTAAAAGAGGAACACTGTTAGTAAGGAAGACAATTCCACATAATAAGTTAGATAAACAGAATAATGCTATAGTGGATACACATGACGATATGCTGAAAGATAGGTTTTGGAGTGAGCATAAAAGTTTATTATTAAATAAATGTAAAGAACCAATTGTGTATAACGGACCTGTCACTGATATAATTGCAGAACAAATAAATTCTATTAAAGAGTAATGTCAAACACTAAATAAATTAAATATTTTATAAACAAGTACTTATTTTTTTTTAGTCTAAACCTGACTTCACATTCCCCACTAGATTTTTATTTAAATAATTTGTAAAGGATGAGTTACTGATCACAATTACTTTAACATCATTTATCAAGCCGTGCTTGTTATGATGATTGCTTTTTAAATTGAACTTGTATACTATATTTATGACCTGATTGTGCACAATTAACCGAACCGATTATGATGCAATTTTCAGAAGCATTTGTTACACTTTAAATTAATTAACAGACCTCAGAAAAAGGGGGTTTGAAGTCTGTTTTTAATAAATGCAGTTTACAAAAGAATTTTACATACATACATAACTTTAGGCCTGTTTCAGTAGGCAGTTTCTGGAACACCAATTGCTACGATTCTTATCTTACATACTTCTTTTGCTTCACCAACAGTCATCAGTCTTTAAAAGGAATTATATTGATAGTATTATCATATTCATGATGTACATTTTTAAGATTCTCAAGTCCTGAGAATTTGTAACATAATAAAACAGCTTTGGATTATAATGATACTTTATTTATATAACATTAAATAGGTGTCCAACGATTTTAAATAACATTACATTTTCAATCTAATCAACATGATTTAAAAATAAATATTGAGTACTGTGCTCACATAAAGAATAATATTTTAATGTTATAGATTTTTGAAAGGCGCACAAATATTTCGAAAATAGCTTTGTTACCCTAAACATTAAGCTTTTAATAATTGTTTCCCCCATTATTTTATTTTTTTTTGTAGAAATAACAGGTACTTTATCCTATAAGTTTGCTTAGATGACCTTAGCAAGTTTCACCATCGGAAGATTTATGACAACACCAATATCTCAAGCTATAGAAACACAGAACTTGAAATAATTTGTTGAAATGAAATACTAGCAGTTAACATAAAATAACTAGCTAACCTCAAAGGTTGAAGATACAATATTTAAATACTGGTTGAAAGATTACTCATTGTCAAATACTCACAGCAATGTAGGCATAATATTGTACTGTGATATTCAATCAAAATATCCTGTAGTTACATATGTACAGGAAGCAATGGTTACTTGTATATTCAATGATCAATGAACAATCTTATGTGTAGAATACAGAAAATATTTATAATGTTTACAATAGTTCTTATTATTAACTACATTTTAACTGTATTATGTATACATACATTTGTCCTGATCAATATTGCAAATAGGTATGTACAAAGCAAAAGTTTGTTTAAAGGAATTCTTAAAGTTCAGAAGTATAATATATACTGTTTAGAAAATGGGAATGTAGTTGTCAATCTTAGCACGGTGCTTTTGAGCCACACACTCACTAATCCATACAATGTTTCGGCATTCTTGTTCCTTCAGCTTCAGGTATGAGTAGAACACCCCGAAGTGGAATTGTTGCAGGAATGCATGGACATTCAGGCTCACCTGAAAATGTTAAAATATGATGTTTAGCCAAGATAATTATTCTTTATTACATGTTTTTTTAATTATTGTAAAAAATATGTGTAAATAATTATAATTAATATTGTTGAGAAAACAAAAATTTTAAAAAATCTATGCAATATACAATTCTGATATTGTATATTGTTAGTACAAAGACATTAGGCCTATGAATGATAATATGATGAATAAATCTAACGATACCAGATAAGTAGAATTTGAAACTTGCCTCATGCTCAAAGAACTTGTCCTCCAAGGTCTTGTCACCAACATTAGAGCCAGCACCTTCAAACAACGCTTGGTACTCAGCATAGTACTCGGCAACAGCTTTGACCTGCTCATAATCATCAGCTCTGGCAAGAGCAGCCAATCCATCAGGGTTCAGTTTGCCACAGCGTGGGTACAGCTTAGCACGGTCATCTTTGGACAATTCTGTCCCAAAAGAGTTGATAGTGATGATGATTGCACGGCGATCAGCTTCAAACTGCAAATATTATTATTTCATATTATATCAAAATTGATAACAAATAAACATAGAAACATGGTGAATGATGTAGTCATGATGTGCATGCCTCACACTTAATGAAATAATAGTTGTTAAAAATAAATAAATAAATGTATATAAACAACTTACAGCCAGAATTTCGCACATAACATCAGCAGTAGTTTCACCAATCTGCTTGCAAAAATCATAGAAGGCTTCCAGGTAAGCCTTGTACAGGGTGTTACGAATGATCTCAATATTCATCTCATCCAAGTCTTGCTCACTGATGCAGTCAACGAAGAATGGGGCCAATGGGGTGTCAACAAGGACTGCATTGTACAGTTCAGCAGGTGTAGCAGCAACATGGATGGCTTCCATTTGCTCAAAGGAGCCTAAGGGGTGGCATTTGGGAATGAGCTCCGAAATGGGCCTCTGGTGTAGTGTACCAGTGATCAGCAAAATAATGTTGTCAATCATGTAACTGTAAGTAATGAAGTCCAAGAAGGTAGAGAGTGGCTCCACTGAATGATTCCTTAGATGCTGGAATTCAATTACGAGCTTCTCGCGAAGCTTATCGTCAATTGTAGAGACAGCAAGAGGGCTGGGCTCATTTGCAAGGAACGTACCATAGTCGGTGCCCTGCAGGTGAAGCTTTAAGTCTGTAAACAATAGTTAAATGTCAAATGTAACGTGAATAAAAATTGTCCACCACAGTAACTAGTGATCAGATATGGTAAAATGGATAATGTCAGATATTATACAACAATCTACAAACCTTCCAGGGTCTCGCATTGCACCAAGTTAAGGTAGTCAGCCTGCTTCAGGATTCCACACTTGAAACCACGGCACAGTCCTTCTAAATATCCAGCATCGATGTTAAAAATGCACCCCTTCATTTTGCTTCTGTAATCTTTTTACTGAAACAGTTTAACTTTACCCTATTGGATATTTTAGACAACTCAAATCAGTAAAAAAGCCCAAAGAGACACAGAAGAAGGGAATCAATTGAGGTGGGTGATCAATGATCATATGATGTAACCATAGACAAGTGTATTCTTTTTTTGTTTTTTTATGAAAATTAGGAATCATATTTTTAAGGTAATGAAAATAGAGTATCATATTTATTTACATCTGAATGAAAGAATAATCGTAGTAAGAAAAATATAATTTATCTCAAAATCTTACATTTACAAATAGCGTTTATATTCACTAACAAGTGAAGAGAATATTTATTTATTGCACACATATTACAAAAATAGCGACAAAGTAATTTTACATAACTAATATATCCACATCAATCCATTTTGTTTCAAAGCAGCACCAGTTCAAGTGTTGTTTTTTAACGTGGTGACTAAGGACGAGAAAAAATAGCGGTCTGCGGAATGTCACTTACCTACCAATTATTGAAGCACCAAAATATTAGTGGTGTATGTACGTGTAGTAGTTAGTGGTGTATGTACGTTAGTATACTTGCAACACCGTAAAGTTCGTATTTCTGAAATGAAGGGTAACATGACGGGATATGTCACGCGACAGATGTAAGTACTTTGTGTTATTGTGTGTGTATTCCAAAGAGTATAATAAGTATAGGGGTGGCATAGCCGTTGTTTCAAGTGACTACGACCGCCTTTTTTTCAACGAAATGGTGGTGATGATCAAGCCAGAGAGAAAAAAGTCACTTCAAGTATTAACCGTATCATAACAAGTAATGAATTTGTATGAAAAATACAGAGCAAATGTAAAGTCGAATAAAGCTACATAGGTAGTCTATGGACAAAGCATAATGTCAAATTGACATCAACTGATTGACAAATAACAGAACAGACAGAAAAGTGAAAAAGTTGTTTTTATTGTTGTTGACGTGTCGTAATTTAGTCTAATAATAGTTTTTCAAGAATTGTCCAGAGTTTATAAGATGGATTCTGCTTACAATAATCCCATAAGACAAAGAATTAATAAAATTTTCGATAGTCATATACTATCTGATAATACAGATGCATTACATTCTGTGTCTGGATTTTGTTCAACAAATTCTGCATACACAAGGCGAGTTATCGTAAATGAAATTGAAAAAAAGGATATGTTAGTAAATAAAACCGTTCTAACAGAATACAATAAAGTGAAAGATAAGCTGCAAGTGTTACTCGACTCCCTGTCGTCTTTGGATGTTGCAGTCAAAGATATGTCAAGGAGGCTATCTGATTCAAAAAACAAGACCCACCATCTTATAACTCAAACAACTAAGCTCAAAGACGAAAGGAAAAAGACGGAAAAGAAACAAGCATGGGTAGAAGCATTTGTCAAAGAATTCCAGTTATCACCAGAACAAAATGAGTATTTATACAATGTTTCAGTCAAAACTCCTTTAACACATGATTTCTTTGGAACATTGTCTCATATAGAGAAATTGTATAGTAACTGTAAAACACTTATAAAATGTTGGCATCAGACCTCTGCATTTGACATCATGGAGACTGTTGGCTTACAACAAGAAGTTGCTATTGAAAAACTGTATCATTGGACCATTGGAGCTTGCCTCAGTACAGATTCACCAAACAATGCTTTGGTGCCTACTGCTTTGGCAAAATTTCAGAATAGGCAAGTCCTGTTTTCTAATATAATTGATGAATATAGTTCTGCTCGGAAAGCAACAATAGTGCAAATGTTTATTGATGCCTTAACTAAGGGTACAGATGGTTCTAAACCAATCGAATTTTATGCAAATGATGCTAAACGGTACATTGGAGATATATTAACCTGGGTGTACCAAGTAATACCAATAGAGAAAGAAAATCTTGCTACTTTATTTAAATTCTGCAATATGCCTGAAAAAAATCAACTTATCATAGATGCTTTGACCAATATTATGGAAGCTCTGTGTCCTCTACTAAAAGTCAGAGCAGAACTGATATTGAAGCCTGATAAAGATCCTCTTGTCTTGTGGTCCATAACTAATTTAATCATTTACTACAAAGATGTAATACAGGCTGTTATAGCAAATGGTCACCTAATAAAGACATTTGAAGAACTTTTGAAAAAAAGTGAAGAAGTTTTTGTTATAACTTTGGATAGCAAAATTCAAAAGGAACTTAGCCATGGAGTTAAAGCTCCACCAGTTGATTTAAACCCTTCTATAGTGGTAACAGATTTGGTCAGTTTCCTTCGTGATTTGTTGGCCATTATGAATGTGTCCCACAATATAAATACTGCTGACAGAAAAATGATAATAACACACATATTAGACCCATTACTACATGCAATAAATGAAACTGCTTGCCATTTAAGTTCTACTGACATGTCAGTATATTTATTGAATTGTATCTATCACATACAGTGCACCTTATCACTGTACACAGTAATGGATGAATATAATGAAAGGTTACAAGCTCAATCTGAGGCTCAAATAGATACTTTAACTTCTGAGCAAGCCAGTTACCTGGTTGCTAATTTGAATTTGGGTCCTATTTATACTATACTCCAAGAAAAAATAAGTGGCCCTTTATCAGCAATACCTGGAATGGATACATCAACATTAAAAACATTTCTTAACAAATTTGATATGTTTCTAGTATCACCAGATGTATATATGTTGCCTCAGCTGAATTTACTATTGAGTCATACTCACAAGTCATTAGTTAAAAAACGAGCATTTGAAGTAATATTTGCTATTTATACTCAATTATATCAAGCAGTTCATGATCCATTGAACGGATATGCTGAACCACATACTATTGTTCGCAGAAAACCAGAAGAGGTCAACAAGCTACTTGTGTAAAAAATATTCTTTAATATTATAATGTAGATACCTGTTTAAATTATTATAAAACTAGCATCCCATCCCGGCTTCGCATGGGGTAGACAATTATTTATTTTGAGAAATTTGGATTGTTCTAGTGACCTAACTACAATAGTTGAACATATGCTAACACGGAGTTTTTTGTGGACATTATGATGTTCTTCAATATTGTTGTACATTATTTTGTTCTATCGGTAATAGTTTTGGCAGTGCAATCGAAGAAAGACATTTTAAGACTCATTTTTCTACACCTTCGGTTACATTGTTCAAATTTTACCAAGGATCCCTAATTTTTATTCAAAATGAAATGTAGCCTATGTCAAATTGGAAGAATGTAGCATTATATTGGTGAAAGAATTTTTTAAATCGGTGCAGTACTTTTTGAGCCTATTCATTACAAACATACAAAAATAGGTACAAATCTTTCCTCTTTATAATATTAGTATAGATAGATTAGATTAGATGAGATATTGTTAATATCAAAGATATAAAATGATATATTTTTTTATTTGTATATCCCCCGCTCTATTCCCAAATCTCCAATCCTCAAATCCCTCAAACCCGTAAATGTGGGTGAAAATACTGAAACACACTTCTGGTGTGAGGATGTCCATTGCTTACCACCAATCAAGGGATTCATTTGTTAATCATTGTACAGGGTGTCTCACGGCAGAGTTAGGATTTTAAATTTGAATATTTTAAAAACCGTTGCAAGTAAGCGCGGGGGGAGGAACGCAGTAGCTTCGTCATTCGTGCGGATTCGTTAGTCACGATGTCGCAGTGGTCGGGTGGGCGTCGTGCGTTCGCTATCGAAGCGTTTTTGAAAGGTCGAAAATCGTACGTCGTGGCTCGAAGACAGTTTTGTTCTCACTACAATATCAGACGTTTACGCGATGGACCAAGCGAAAATTTGATTCGTAAATGGGTTATCAAGTTTCGAGCTACCGGTTCCGCTATAAATCAACCGCGTCCGGGCCCAAGCAGAACTTCAAGTACGGAAGAAATAATAAACGAAGTTGCAGCTAGCGTTCGACGTAATCCACGCTTGTCAATACGCGGCTTTAAACGTCACCAAATCAACCGTAAAGCGGATTTTAAAACGTGATTTGAAATTCCATCCCTATAAAATACAGATAGTGCAGGAAATAAATGAAAATGACTACAATTTATGTAAAAGTTTTTGCCAGACAATCATTGAGAGATTTCGCACTTTGAATACTGTGTTTTGGAGTGATGAAGCACATTTCCATTTGAATGGATATGATAACAAACAAAATTGTCGCTTTTGGTCAGAAGTCAATCCCAGACAAAAACATCAAGCTGCATAGCCAAAGAGTATAATAAGTATATTATAATAATATTCTCAGCGCCACAAAGGGAATGACAGAGTCCTAGCGCTGCTCATACGCACGTAACAGCCTAGAAAGTTCTATTATAATAGTCATAACGTTTAAATTTGTTGTGCATAGCCCAAAAGTGACAGTGTGGTGTGCTCTTTCGGTCAATGGAATAAATGAATAATCGGGCCGTATTTTTTTGAAAATGCGACAGGTGCTGCGATAACTGTTTCTGGTGAGGCTTATCGGCAAATGATATCCAATTATTTTATACCCCAACTTCGAGAGCATCCAGCCTACAGCTCTAGAACAGCAGTTTCAGCAGGATGGAGCCACTTGCCACACTGCAAGAGCCACTATGGACCAACTTCGTGAATTGTTTCCTCAAAAATTGATATCCTGCTTTGGTGATACTGCGTGGCCTCCGCGATCACCTCACCAGATTTGACCCCCATGGACTTTTTCCTATGGGGGTACCTTAAGAGTAAAGTTTGCGTCAATACTCCGAGGAATATCGCTGAGCTAAAACAAAATATCCAACAAGAAATACGCGACATCGAGTCGGTTATGCTTAGGCGCGTTATGCAAAATGCGATAAATCGATTCCGTGAGTGCGTGCTACGGAATGGAAGACATCTGGAAGATCTTTAAAAAATAAAATGCGCATTGTAGTTCAATAGTTTTCAATAAAAATCTTTTCACAAAAATTTGCAAATTGACTTTTATTTCATTTCAAAATCCTAACTCTGCCGTGAGACCAGGGTGTCTCACGGCAGAGTAACACCTTTTGTAACACCTAGGTAATAATTTGTACATTCATTGCAAATAAATAATCTATTCTATTGCATTTCACAAATTATTCGCTGATTGCCCAGTAAAAAGTGCTGGAATCGTTCTAATCAACATTACTATTACATTATTACCATGATAATTCTGTTTAATTCTAGAATGACAAAATATGACTTCTGATATAATTTTTTTTCAGTTAGTGCGGGTAGAATAATGAAGTTCAATAGCCACGGCCCCTATACTTATTATACTCTTTGAGCCACGGTTTCATTTTTTCTTATATAGGAGAATACGTCAAAAGAATGTTTTACGTCAAAATTTTAATGTCAAATTAACGTCAAATGTTAATGATCTAATATCAGGAATAGGATCAATGCGTGCGAGAAATGAATTTTTTATCTTATGAAATTGATCTATGAATAATTGATAAAATATGGGATCACGACAAATTACTGAGAAGTCTCTGTCTATGTTAAGATCCTTACCGAGAATATCTCTTGGTAATATTCGTAACAATCCTAAATCCAAGCCAAATGTAAGCTGTTTTGTTAAATGCTAAAATAACCTACATAATTTTAAATACAGCTTGTTAAATGTTTTGAATTGTTGTATTGCAGTCAAAAAGAGGCCGCGGACAACACGGAGGTGACAAGCATGGCGCTGGTAATAAAGGATCAGGCCAACGGCAAAACTATATGAGATTAGGTTATGAAACTGGAAACAATCCATTTTATTTGAGGGTTCCTCAAGAACATTATTACAGAGGCCACCAGTGAGTTTCAAGCTTTTCTTTAAAGTTACATTAAATCTTAGTCAACTGCTTTTCTTAATTACAAAACCTGTGTTAAGCTGCCCTCATACAGTAATCTAAAACCTTTTAAACAAGCAATTCTTGTATTTATATACATATATAAATCATCATCATATCAGCCATAAGATGTCCACTGCTGAATATAGTCTTCCCCCAATGACAAACATAAAGTAAATCAACAATCTCAGAAATGGCTTCATTGATTATCTTGAAATTTTATATTTAAGAGTATTTCAGGAGCGATAAATCGATCTGGTTAAGTTTTATTTTCAGAAAATGTCGTATTGTTCATGTTTTTATTGAAAGAAAATCCTTATTAGAATACGAAGCTAAATTTCTCCATGACACACAATGCTTAAACAGCTTACACCCCAATACTAGAAGGCTACTCAATTTTAAGTTGCACTTAAATATTGTGCCATCTCTGTCATTTTACGAAGAAATTGTATGACAGAACTATACTTAACCCGTTGAAATTCATCCCCTAAATTTGTTCATACAAAAGTAGTCTCTAAATATTAGAAATAAGGTCTATAATGTAGTTAGTGGAGAGCTGTCACCGGTGACCGCTTGGGGATGTATGGGTTAAGTGCATAGCGTTTCAATATTCGGGTCTTTATCTGAAAATTGGGAGCCTTCTATGCAGGACACTTGAATTCAATGCTCAGCTTGAATGTTTCTTTTATGTTTTGTTCTATTTGCATTTTGTACTAGAAATTATTTCTATGTCTTTTCTATTTTTCTAAAAATCGGTCATCAATATTTTTATATATAAAATAATAATAGTAATGGTTTTTTCAGTCTCAGGAGGGAATATCCACCACTGTCATTACATCAGCTACAGAGCATTATTGATACAGATCGCTTGGATATAACTAAACCCATTGATATTGCAAGTATTATCAAGTCAGGTCTCTACAAATTTTTCCCTGATCAGAAGCAATTTGGTGTCCAACTCACTGATGAAGGAGCAGATTTCTTTGCAGCAAAAATAAATATTGAAGTTCAGTGGGCGAGTGAACAAGTAATTGCTGCTATTGAGAAAAATGGTGGTGTTATTACAACTGCTTACTACGACCCGCATAGTTTGATGTTACTCAAGAACCCTAAAAAGTTTTTTGAGTCAGGTCAAGCTATACCTAGGAGGATGATCCCACCACCTGATGCTATTGAATACTACACTAGTGCTAAAACACGTGGCTATCTGGCTGATCCAGAAGAAATATCAAAGGAAAGGCTAAAATTGGCACAGAAATATGGGTATACTTTACCTAACATTGAAAATGAACCAAACTACAATATGTTAAACGAAAGGAAAGATCCTAGACAAATATTTTATGGATTAGAGCCCGGTTGGGTCATAAATTTGAAAGAAAAGTGTATTCTTAAACCGAAAGATCAAGAATTGTTACAATTCTACAGTACATAAGATGATAACTAAATTATATTGATAAATATAGGTTCTTATAGACATTAATTGTTTTTTTTCTAATTTCTGGTGTTATTTCACTGAGATCAATTGTCTAATTGTAACCAGATCAATACAGCCCTACAGTTTAATGCCCCTGTTCTATATCTGTCTTACCATCTGACTATCACTAACCATGGCGGTAAACCTCGGAGAATAATGAAATTAAAATATAATAGAATTAATAAATAGCAAAAAAAAAATCCAGTAGTACTATTGCCCGTCCCGGGAATCGTACCCGAAACAATCACACTTAAGACTACAAAATTAACGAAGCATCTATCAATATTATGGGAAAGTAATCTAGGCAGTACTTTTCTTTTAAACCTATTGTAATTTGGGCCCAAGGTTTTCATGAATGCTCATTAGGTCCCAATCGCAATTTGCAAGAGTTATTTTAATTAACGCACATTCAACGTTCCTAACGACCAGCGCTTTTATCAGTGTTCCATTTTCAATGCTGGGCGTTAGGACATCTGAATTTAGAAATATATAATATTCGGCACTAAACGTATATTAGGATTTGATGCCGAATATTAGCTCTGTAAGTGGAGCCAGCTTCAGAACTTTAGTTGCGTCAATCTTAATTGATTCTGTGCTGTGCAAGACGACTTATGGCCAAGATCAATTCACTATTTATTTTTTATAGCATAAGCCGGTAAACGAGCAGACGGATCACCTGATGGAAGCAATCGGCGCCACCCATGGACACTCGAAACACTAAGGCATTACAAGTGCGTTACTGGCCTTTTGGGTTTTTAAATGGGAATTTGAGGGATTCCACAACCCACAAATTCTCATTCGGATTCGGGGATTCGGGAGACGGGGACTAGGTAGGGGGGTAATGGGGCCTCCGGTAACCTCACTTACAACGTAACGTAAGCGTTGTTTCACGTCGGTTTTCTGTGAGGCCGTGGTATCGCTCCGGTCGAGCCAGCCCATTCGTGCCGAAGCATGGCTCTCCCACACTTACGAAGATGTTTGATGTGATCCAATTTGGTAAGGGAAATGAGTCGCCATTATTAAAAAAAAGGACATTTTTCTGTTGTACATTTATTCACTTTCTCAAGAACCGCAAACCATTAGTAGACATAATATTATTAGACATAATATAAATCAGCGTTAATCAGAAGATACAATATTTTTCGCCTTACTGATACTTATGTATTATCCTGATACTATTTTAAAGTAAACCTGTTTAAAGATATTCTTACATTCAAACATAGTATAACTTACAAGAAAGTGTGATGTTGAATACTACAAATTTAATATCTGTAGTGATCTGGCTTGTATGGTCCCTCGACAGGGACACCAATGTATTTGGCTTGTTTAGGTGTCAGCTTAGTTAGTTTTACACCAAGATGGTCCAAATGTAAGGCAGCTACTTCTTCATCCAACTTCTTAGGCAGTGTGTGAACTCCAACAGGGTATGCATTGTGCCTTGTCCAAAGTTCGATCTGAGCTAGAACTTGGTTGGTGAAAGAGTTTGACATAACAAATGATGAATGACCTGTGGCGCATCCTAAGTTAACAAGACGTCCAGCCGCCAAGACAATGATGTGGTTTCCATTATCAAGCTCGTAGCGGTCTACTTGTGGTTTAATGTTTACTTTCTTGGCATTGTTTTCGAGCCAAGCGACATCTACTTCACAGTCGAAGTGACCAATATTACAAACAATTGCATCATCCTTCATTTTCAAGAAGTGTTCCTTGCAAATGATATCTAGATTTCCTGTAGTAGTGACAAATATCTGTCCTACTTCAGCAGCCTCCTCCATAGTCGTTACCTGGAATCCTTCCATAGCCGCTTGTAGGGCATTAATGGGATCTATTTCAGTGACAATAACTCGACCTCCAAATCCTTTAAATGCTTGAGCGCAACCTTTACCCACGTCACCATAGCCTGCGACTACGCACACTTTTCCGGCAACCATAATATCTGTAGCTCTTTTAATTCCATCTAGCAATGATTCTCTACATCCATATAAATTATCGAATTTGCTCTTAGTGACCGAGTCATTTACATTGATGGCAGGTACCTTCAGTAGACCTTCACGGAACATTTTATACAAATTGTGTACACCAGTAGTGGTTTCTTCAGAAATACCCTTAATGCCCTCCAAATATTGTGGGAACTTCTTGTGAACCAAGTTCGTTAAGTCACCACCGTCGTCCAGGATCATGTTAAGTGGCTGAAATTATAAAATAAATGCATTAAAAGTATGTTACGTTTTTGATACCATGGAGGTGACATAAACGGATATTTTTAAACACAAGCATTTTGTCCTGTGTCGTGGGTGTGTTTACAAACACACAAGTTCACATACACAATGACACCCAGACCAGAAACAACAATTTGTGGATCACACACAGAGCTGTTCCGTGCGGTAATCGAACCCGCTAGACGTTGCGCGGCTGCCAGTTGCCCAGCCACCGCGCTAACTGTGCAGTCAAATTTGATTGTAGGTAACTGTCTACACACTTCTAATTACCTTCAAGGAAAAGTCTGTAGTACCTACCACTAGTCTCAAGGAAAAAATACATTGGGGTAAATAATATAAATTGTATCCTCTAAGAAGTTGTTTATAGGAAAACCCATTATTTACCTTTCCATTTGGGAATACTAATGTCTGCTCAATGCACCATATATATTCCTCTTCAGTTTCTCCTTTCCAGGCGTAGATCGGGATACCCACCGCAACCAAAGCCGCGGCTGCTTCATCCTGCGTACTGAAGATGTTGCTGCTGGACCACTGCACCTGTAATAATAAATTGTTTGTGTTTTTATATAAATACGTCATATTTAAAAAAAGCTTCGTGTATAAATACAAGATTTAATATTAGCCAATTCTATTCACATAATGCATACGTCGATAACTCGATACCGTTTTACATGACAATAGTAGGTAGTATATATACTTATTATATAAAGGAATAAAAGACGTTATTGTGAAGGAAATGACTAGACATAATAACAATATTACCAATTGAATAGAATTCATGAATTGCAAAAACTATTTCATAATAATTGAAGCAAACATAGAGATCTCTGATCAGAGGTTAAAGATAAAAAAGGTCAAGAGGTGATGATAAATATCAGCACAATTCTTACACATTATTTACATTACTTACAGAAATAAGATAACAAAATTTATTCTTTAATCTTTGACACCTTCTTATTCATATGTAATTGTAAACATATTTTTACTAATCTTCAATGTTTAGATTTCTAACTATGTTCTAACAAGAGTTCAGTATAGGCTGATGATGTGATAAGGAATGTGAGTGTAGCACAGTTGTGCAGAAGTTGAAACAAGAATACTTACATTAACTTTACTATAGCTTGTGTACAAGAGACAAATAAAATAATAATTATACTAAAATCTATCTATTTTAGCATAATCTATTATAGTCTCTCTCTAGGTATAGGATGCTTCTTTCTTATAAATGAGGCGCAGTTGAAAGGGAAAATGTGTTAATAAACAAATTATGCAATTGCTATGTCATGTTTTTCTTAAGGTTATCATAATAATATAGAATAAAATAATAACAGATTTATTTAAGTAATTTTACATCAATATTTTGTGTTTTAATAATTCACGATATGGGCAATGGGTACCTAGCTACTCAAGTAGATAAAATATATTATATAGGTATATATAATTAGCTTTATACCTACCTAATATTAGTACACACATTAAACAATGTGAACACCTGCCGGGAATTGACTGCATTGCTTTGCAATGCATTACTGGTTTGAAACCTGGGATTTATTTGAGTGATTTACATATTAAAAGTGTTGTTTTGAGTCTGTGTGCAGTGTATGTGTTCTGTGATTGTAAATGTACCGAACCACAGTTTATAGGAAATAATATTGAACAATATTCTTCTACAAATGGGCCTGTTTTATCAGACATTTCTACACTAAATTACATATTTCTGTAATTCAATATCAATAATATTTACATAGGTAGTAATAGCTAATAGCAATTCACAGCAGAAATGTTGTAGAATTCAGATTCCCACATAATTAAGTTGAATAATGCTTGAAATACTAGAGCTAAGCAAACCAAATTGTTAAGATAACAAAATCAATACTTTCTCAATGTAACAAAGATAACTAGAACACTAGAACTTCATAATCTATATCAAACACTTTGATACCTATAATAAAATTTGATAAGTGCTGAATCTTTTTATTATTTTTTATCAATATGTGATAAAGTCTATACTGGATTATAGTGTCAATATTGATGTTCCTATCTTTGATTAAGACATATCACTTAACCCAAAGGAGTAGGCCTGCTCTAGTAGTAGAAAATATTATATTAGGTATTATAATCCATGTTAGAATTAGCACCGAAAAATTTAGATTAATAAATCTTGTGAAGTCAATATCTAATCAATATCTACTTTAGGAATTTCTGTCAGCCATGCATTCTGCTTTTGAAAACACACAAGTACTTGATAACTATGTATCCTGTTATCTGGATGTAATACTTTCGTTTGCCTCAAAAGGTTTATTTTCTGAAATATGAATGGTTATACAACTTACCTCAGCTCCAAGCTCTACAAGAGTCTCTATAAGGACAGCGGTTTGCACAGTCATGTGGAGACTGCCAGCAATTCTGGCTCCTTTAAGGATTTTGCTCGGAGCATATTTACGGCGGCATGCCATCAACCCGGGCATCTCCTTCTCTGCCAACATGATTTCCTTGCGGCCAAGTTCAGCCAACTTCTCATCAGCTGTAAGATATAAATATTTCTCTTACTTTCTTTAACTTATATTGACTCGTTGAGTATCGTCATTATTGACACAATTAAAGAACAATAGGTTGGGGTCACCGGTGGTTGCTTGGTGTTTGACAGTTTAAATATTTAGCTAGGTACTTTTTTGTTTAAGTCAGAGTAACAAACAAAAAGCCTTATTAATTCAATGTACTTATACCGTAATCTTCATGTAATTTAAATATATATGAGATAAATACCTACAAGTTTGATTAATAGGTACTGATAAAATTGAAAGACACTAATAAAGATTATTTTAAGTATGATTGTTAAGTAAGTACTTATAAACAAAAAAAGTAAATGATGCTTAGACAATAGACATCAGAATATATCAGATATTAAATGATTGCTTACATGATTTATTACAATAATACATTATTTGCATAATTTATTTTTGATAAGTTTAATAATATGGTTAGGTAACTACTCATCATAGAAAATAAAGTTATATTATTGCAGAAATAATTCATAGTTAGTTAGTTAGGTACCTACTACAATTTAATCTTTTTGATTTTCGTAAAAGAATTTATAGACAACATCGCAGTAAAAATTATTTACGTCATTGTATATTTTATTAGCGGCGGCTAACCAGTTATAACACATAGGTAGGTAAGTAGTATCTGGATTAATTTTATTTATTTTGTTTTAAATTACATCAAATAGATACCTATCTAGGTAGGTACCTACTTGGTAATCGTTAATTGAAGGTAAATACATAGGTAGGTACCTACCTAGTTCATGATAACAGGCAGACAGGTACCATCAGACTAATGACTGATAAATGATAAGATTTATCATTATGAATTCTAAGGAAATGCAGAACTATCAAAAAATGTTTGGGAAAAGCTAAAGTCGGTTCGGCATGGTTTGGATAACCTACAAAAAGTTACTTTCTGGTATCTATGCAGTTACCCTCTTGCCAGTAATTACCTATATGCAATGATTAGTAATTAATCAGAAGCTTTGAGAACAATATCAAGAATCCTGTGGTGAACTACATAAATTTACAAAGGAATAAGATATTTTATTATTATTTACTCACCAATTTTGTACGGTGGCTTCATGATTGTTTATTAATTTCACACAAGTACAAAAACTATTCGAAAGGAACCCCTGATTCAAAGTCAGGAATAAAAGCTAAGATGTATTATTTTATTAAAACAATATCTACAATAAAACAAACTTAGCACATGGAGGCAACAGAAATCGGCCCGTGACACGACCTAACCCGACCACAGATGTTTCTAAAATAACGTTCCTCTCCTCCCTCTCTGCGATACATTACATCTGCCTCAGCCACATTAATATATACTCAGCAGCGTGTAAACCAAAGAATAGGTAGGTACCTAACTAGTTACATAACGTAAAATAATATAATTTATATAAAAAAATTAAGTATCTAAGTCATGACAGGTACTTCGCGATTACACCATGACATCACTTCTGTTTTGTGGTTCTGCAGTTAAATGGCGATTGACTAACTAAAATCCTTACTATCATTGGAAATCGGAAAGTGCATTCCTACGTTTAAGTATTGGTTTGTCTGACGGTTATGGAGAGGCATCGCAATGGACCATTTTTGTGGTAGAGATATGATCACTGTCTGTAGGTAGATATTGGGCAGTGACTAATCTGTTAGATGATTGGAGAGTGATAGAGGCTACTTTTTTCCTTTGACTACGCAGGTTGAATATACCTACTTATAATAATAAGAATCATGAATGTGTGTCCATTACATGATTACATTTAGATTACAGTTGTCTAAAGTAAAGGGCCTTTTCGTATACCTCCAAAGTGACCGGGACCCCATGGTCCCGTTAATGGTAAAGACTAAAGACGCACATAATAGGAATCATGAGGATCACCCTCAATTACACACAGACATCGCGAATGATAATTTTGATCTAACCATTCCCCTATACTTATTATTACTCTTTGTCTAACGATCTTGTGATTTACACACTTAAGGGATCTACTATGATAATATCTTTTTTCAAAAACAAAGTTTTTATCGATAGCCGATAGGAATAGTTAAGTTTTACCTAATTTTGATTTTCAGGATTCACAAGCACTGACTGCATAGTTGCTTAGCGCAGTGGTAAGCTGCAAGCAAGTATTGTATTTTGTGTGGGTTCTGTGCGAGCCTGCAATAGCTCACACAAGAGGAATGTCAATAGAATGTCACGGGAAGATTAATTAGAGAGAGTTTGTCAAATAAAGTATACGTCAATACAGGTTGAATGCTTTTAATGCACTGTCCAACATGCGCTTGTAAAAATGTACATATTAATTAGGCCGATGTGGCAATAACACTCGACAGTTAAAAATGCAAACAAACAAAAATATAATGAAAATGGCTTGTACATATTGCCAACAACGAAATACCGCCAAAATAAAAAAAATACAAAAGTAGATTAGTTAAAAATTAAGCCAATTACGATTAAGGTTCAGGTAAATTATCAAATTTAATTGTCTTGTTCATAGTGGGGGACGTAGCCCTATGTACACCGAGTCTTGAACCACTAATTTCGCGAGAGATTGACTTAGCGGTGTGTCGCGCACTCACACCACTTTCATTCACTGTATCACTCACTACACTGTCTTGACTCCGACTGATTGTCACAATTGACGATCCAGCTCCCTGGGCTGCCAGATGTTGCTGCTGCGGCGTGCGTATTGGTCTTGTTGTCCACCACTTCCTTCCGAATCTCAATATAGCATATGCCATGACAAATAGGACCAGCGGAACCAAAATTGAGTAGATAACTGTATAATGCGAGGTACTTACCAGTCATACCGTCAATTCCTTGCAGGTTTTGTTGTTTCAATTCTTCTATTTGCCGCTTTATAGAGTTGTAAAGTTCATTGTGATTTTCTGTCCTCATTTCTATAGGATTTTGAAGAAATGAAGAATTCAAGATATTATTCAAGGCCGATATAGGCTGTGTTGTTGGTATGTCAATCAGCGGTTGCAGGAAAATTTTGTTGTGATAATCATGGTAGGCTTGTATGGTAAATGTGTCTCCTTTAATGAGACATCCTTGACCTACAGTAATTATACCATTGTCATGCAGTTGTTTTGTATCAAGACCACCTGGGCATAAAATGCGAATTCTGCACTCCCGGCAACATGAGTATAGCCACGCGCCCGGTGATTGTAACTTGATCCAGTTGTGTGAACATTGTCTGAGCTCTGTCCGACAAAATGAGTCATTATTATTATTGTACAGGCTTATTGCACATATTGACCTATCAAGGTGGACATTAAGTATGGGAATACTTTCGTAGCATATTAACATCTCGTTTAGATACCGTTTGCATGTTTGTAGGTCGGTCTCAGTCATGGGTATAACCATATCTTTTTTCATGTTCACTGCGATGTAGGGAGTAATGGGAATATTGTAGAGGATGCTGTCATTCACTTTTCGTGGCAGGGGGATTATTTTATTAAGTTCGAATAGGTTCTGACTTAATAATGGAATTTTGATTTCTATAATTAGGAATGCTTTTGTCACTTTTGCCCGCATTTGCATGAGACGATATAATTCCCTTTCATTATTGTGTGGTATTACTAATTCCCCTTGAAGTCGTCCAGCAATGAGATTGAGTTGATTTTGCAGTTCATCAGGTGATATTAAATGCATGTCAAGTCGCCCATGATGTATGTTTGTAACGGTCTCAAGTAAAGTGTCTTGAACTCTTCTTAAATTAGATAAAATGACATTAACTGAGAGTGCCATTGTTATAATTTGTAATTGATTATCTGTTACTATTCGCACGTTGTTAATCGCCGACGTCATATTATTTAAATATTCGTTAATGTACTGGAAGTGACTATTCATTATATCTTCATTACGTTTCAAGATGTTGTTTTCAGTTTCCAAAATAGAGGTCTGATTTCGTATCATCTTTAGTAAATGATCTTCATTATATTTGATCGACATAATATCTCTTTCGTACTTTTCCGCAAATTTGTCATCTAAAACCCCAAATAATGAGTTTGCAACATTACCTATAGCATTTATTAAGCCTCTCTTTACCCGTGTCTGACTTTTAGCCTGCAATAATTCATTGTAATAATTTATTTCATTCAGTTCATGCTCGAATTGCGATATAATCGGTTGAAACATTAATTCATCCTTTTCTACGCTTTTCAAATGCATAATGTAATTTTGGATGTCAGCCATGTTTTGCCAGTATTTTGTCATGTTGTAATAAACTATCATTTTCCATTGATCTTGAACAACTCTCATGTCAGCGACTTTGTCAAAATATAGAATGGATGGGAATGGGAATTATATCGTCTCATGCAATGGGGAAGATAACAGAGGTACATGAAGGAAAAGATGGATGCGTTCGTGTAGTAACAATAAAAACAAAGAATGGATACCTAAAACGACCTATTATCAAATTGACACCGTTACCGGTTTATCCGGCTCGAAGGACCAAACTGTGCGAGCCTGCAATAGCTCACACAAGAGGAATGTCAATAGAATGTCACGGGAAGATTAATTAGAGAGAGTTTGTCAAATAAAGTATACGTCAATACAGGTTGAATGCTTTTAATGCACTGTCCAACATGCGCTTGTAAAAATGTACATATTAATTAGGCCGATGTGGCAATAACACTCGACAGTTAAAAATGCAAACAAACAAAAATTCCTGCACTAAAAATATTTATGCGATCTACAAATTGTAGGTCCGTCACCAAATGTGCAGTGTAGTTGTGTATGAATTGGCATGTTTGTAAATGGTGTAGTACCTACATACTAGTACGATATATTTTGTTATAAATGGATACATACTTATTTAATTTCACAGCTGGTAATTTAGAGTTCAGAGAATCAGGTGATCTAAAACCACTCATCACAGCAATAATGGGCCGGCTCGATCCCAACCAAACCACGACTTCACAAGATAATTTGGCAGAAACAACGTAACGCTTGCGTTATGTGAGGTTATCAGTGGCCAAATCCTCTTCCATTTCCAAATGACAGGCAGCGCAGCGCTCTTGTAACTTCTCTTGTAATTGGATTCTGAATGCGCCGATTGCTTACTAGTTGATTTTTCTGCATGTTTGCTGACCTATTCTATAAGAAAAACTAGCAAAAGCCAAGCTTGCGCACGAACGGTTCCGTACCATTCGTCTTTAAATACAATAAACAGCATCAACTTTGTTGTATGGGAGCCCTGTTTAAATAGGTACTTAATTGTTTTTTTTTAGTATTTGTTTATTACAGTGGCAATAGAAATACACAATTTTCATCTGTCAAAATTTCAACCGTCTATCAGGGTTCAAGAAATACTGCTTGGTAACAGACAGACGGGACCAACGGCCAGCGGAGTAGTGTTCTAGTAATACGGTTGCTGTTGCTCTTTGGGTATGGTAATCTTATAAAAAAGCTACGTTGGTAGGCAGTCTAACAGATAATAATACTTGTATCGGGTCGGGTGAGGTCTTTGTATTTGCTTCATGAGTATAACAGACAAAATGCCTCATGTTCTTCGAACGGATAGAGAAATGTGAACATGAAGATAACCATGAAGTGTAATGCACACTTGTCGCCCGTTATGTGAAAGGGTCGCCTACTAGGCATCAACAATACGATATAGGTACGTACATATTATGGAAATCGTAGCATTCCATAATATGTATCTAAAAAACATTACCCTCCTTCTTTGGCAGTCGGGTAAAAATATACTTACAACTTTTTATTTGTAAAAAGATTTTAATTGAATCTGAATTATACTTATACCCGTATTTTATATTTTAATCAGAACAGTTTTACAAAAATGTTTATTTTTTAAATAGAGAAGTAAATATAAATCATAGGTAAATATAAATAATACACCATTTAACTTCTAAATTGTTTAATCACCATAGAACAGTTTACAGAGTAGCAGATAGTAATAGTCAAAACGAATGAAAATATACGCCGTAACAAAACAACTAATTGATTTTAGATTCGCGCAGGAAAAGTGGGTGGTATTCATTGACTCGATGCCTATGATTCTAATTCAGAACCTTTCATGGCATGGCACTAGTCCTCACATATTCTCCTAT